TCTGCAGACTAGCAGATCCTGGCCAATGGGCAGACCTCTAAGCGGAACATGCACTGCCGAGATAGCTGACCTCGCCACATTAACCGAACAATACGATAGTCCCAGGTCAAAACAGGTGAGGTAGAAAATTCAGCAGACTAGTTACAGGGCCCGTAAAGGAATCTGTATCCCATTCCAGACACCAACGACACCAGGAATCCCAGAGGAGGTCTTTAGCCGACTGCAATAACACCTCGACATTCCAGGTTTCCCTGAAGCGCAGGTGGCCCTCCCTCACTAGGGGATGAAGATTTCCCCGGGATTTCGAAAGAAGCATCAAAGGGGATGGCATGAGTAGAGGATCCCGATGGGAGAGATCCAGGAGGATACCTTGGGAATCATAGTGAACGGAGGAAACGCATAAGCTCCCTGCAAAGGCCACGCTTGGAAAAAAGCATCTACCGCCGATTACGCCGGATCCGGGAGCCAGTTGAAAACGGGTCCCTCTGGTCCGTGAGCACAAGGAAGATGGTCCAAATGAGTTTCCAATTGCTGGCGTCCCTCCAGTGTCTGGAGAACCAGCCCGTCAGGTTCGACACCCCCGGCAGATATTCCGCCTGGAGAGGGATGTTGCATTGAAAGCAGAAGCTGTAGATCTCCTTTGTCACATCTGAAAATATCGCTTTGTTGATCCAGGCTGACCAACGCAGTTCGGTCTTCACGTCCAAAGACAGGGGAATCATCTGGTCGTAGGAAGGTCTCCTGCGTAGGAAATGAGCCTTGAGCCATTGCATGGCCCTGTAGTGAAGTGGGCCCAGATAGATCACCTGGATTGAGGCCGAGAGGAGACCCACTATATGAGCCAGCATTTGCAGTGGAATCCGGTCCTGATGTAGGACCCTCCTTATCTCTTTCTGAATGGTAGCTATCTTGGACAAAGGCAGACGAAGGACACATTCTTTTGCATCCACTTCGAGCCCCAAGAACTCTACTACCTGGGAAGGAGCGAGAGCTGACTTCTCCAAGTTGACCACGAACCCCAGGAGTTTGAATAAAGAGACCCAGAACGCGTCTGACACCTCAGTCTGGAGGGCTCCTCGCAGAAGATCAGCAAGTCATCCAGGTACACGATGCAACGGACGCCTTCTGATCAGAGACGAGTGATCACCGGCTTCAGGAGCTTGGTGAAGCACCATGGAGCCGAGCTGAGGCCGAAGTGAAGACAAATGAATTGGCATGGTTTGCCCTTCCAGAGGAAACTGAAGAATCTGCGGCATTCAACATGTACCGGGACCAAGAGGTAGGCGTCCTTCAGGTCCAACCTCGTGAACCAGTCTCCCGGTCGGAGGAGATCCCGTAGGAGATGGAGGCCCTCCATCTTGAAGTGGTGATAGACAATGAAGGTGTTCAGGTTCCGCAAGTTGATCACTGGATGGAATTCTCCGTACGTTTTCCTCACTTGAAAAATTGAGCTGAAAAAACCTTGTGTGTCCGGAGCCCATTGGACCGCACCCTTGTCAAACAGCACCTGAATCTCTGCATCTACCAGGGATTGTTGCTCTTTTGAGGAAATGGGGGCCCTTGGAGAACCACCCAGAGTCAGAGGAGAATGAAAATCTATGACATATCCCCGAACGGTCCGAAGGACCCATGCATCCGAGGACACCTCCCGCCACTTGTCCCTGCAGTGATACAATCTGCCCGCATGTAGCAAGGGAAAAGGAGAAATGGCAGGAGTTGCTCTCACCTGAAGGGAATCTTGCCTGTCCTCTGGCACGATTTCCTCGACCTCTATCTGACCTCTGGGAGTAGAAAGGCCGGGACTGGTAGGAGGGAAACAAGGATGGTCCACGGGATCTTTGGCGGCCCGAAGACCAGAACCGGCTGGAGACACTGCTGCGCTGTCGTTCAGCCCTGCCAAAAACTCTTGAAGTTTGCGGCTGAAACGCCCTCTTAATGGAGGTCTGGGCCTTGTCCAGGGAAGTGAACAGGTTCACGTGCTTATGCAGTTCCTTGATAAATGGCTCCCCAAACAGAAGGCCCTTAGCCAGGGGACCCAATTCCTTTGAGCCCAGTTCTGACAATTTGTTGTCCATCCGTAAAAGGCCGGGACTGGTAGGAGGGAAAGAAGGATGGTCCACGGGATTTTTGGCGGCCCGTGGAGAGAGCCACATTAGTGTTGCCCAGCAGGCAAATGGAGCGCAAAGCCAAGTCCCGCATGGTGGCTGGGTCAAGGGCCGCTCCCTCCGAATAGGCCTCGTCCCCCAGCATTAGCATCCTGCACAGGGTGGCCAGCATATCCAGCAATTTATCCTGTGCCAGACGGAGGCTGCGCTCAACCCCTTTCTTGAGGTCCCGGCCTGTACAGGTCATGTATGTGGCGACCAGGGAATCAAATTCCAGTGTCGTGACCACTTTACCATGCAGCACAGGCTGGGGGCATTCTGCCCGAAGTTTCTTGCGCACCTCCCATTCAAGAGGTCTGTGGACCCAGTAATGCACAAATTGGGCTAAGTGGTCAATCAGAGCCCATTCAGAGGACTTGGGGTGCCGAATGGACCAAGGGTCGAACAGAGGTTTACCCGTAGATCCAGAAGGGTGTTGTCCTCCATCACGGCAGTCAAAGCCCCTGGCGCGGACGCGTCCTCAGCCTTACAGCACCATTTGGGGTCATCTTCATGGTCCTCATCCCAAATGTCTTTCTCATCCGAGGAGGACTGGTCCGCCCACCATACATCCAGCACAGCCATAGGTGGAGGGGGTAAGGAGACCTCCTCCCCTGCGCCCGACAATCGGTGGCTCCTGGCCGGAGAGGCCGACAGCCTCGAACCTTGATGCTTCGCCGGGGCCTTCACCCTTCCAATAGTGCGTCTGCGCACTTGCCTGCTCTTTCCCAGGAGAGTCTGACTCCGCCGAGTCTTCTGCCCTTTGGGGGTCCCTCTAGCACATCATTCTGGTTGTGTCTGAGGGAGGGCCCTAGCCAAGGCCATCTCCACGGAGGCAGCTACTGCTGCATTTATCATGGCCTGCAAATTCTGCTCCTGGGTAGACATTTCTATTGTCAAGAAGGCGTGGGTAACATGACACCTAAAGATATAGAGGACAGGTATCACCAGCAGTCAAAACAGGGCAGCACCCCTAATAGTGGCAGAGGCAAGTAGTTAGCGCATGCAGGGCCCAAACACCAGGGGTCCAGAGTACAGAACCGTCAGGCCAGGTGTAAACGTAGATTGGTACAGACAGCGCAGGACAAATCAGGGGGCACAGACAAAGCAGGCCAATCAAATAGGGCACAGGCAAAGCAGGCCAGTATATGGGCACAGACAGAGCAGGCCAAATTATGTGGTACAGCCAAGGCAGGGTAATCAGCATTAGCAGGTCACATGCTGAGTGTTTGTGTATAAACATGCAGGAATGAGTAAAAGGGAGGTCCACAGAAATTGCATTAGGCCAGCCATAGGGGAAAAAACATGTAGGGTAAGGCTAAAAGCGATAAGAACTTGTCCACAGAAAACAAAGAAAAAAATCAATATAAGCATATAAGGACATGTGCCATTAAATTCTCAGAGCAACACAACTGCGGTAAACCGAGCAGTGAACCGGCACCCCCCAGCACGACCATGCGGTCGCGGGAAGGTGGGTGCCCGGAGGCCAGGGAGCAGCCGCTCCCTCGTGGCCAGCTACCCGTCCCACCCCCACCCATCCTGCTCGAACCACGGGGAGAAAATACACAGTGAGCGGTAGTGTGGGTCGGGTAACGGACACAAGAGACGGCTCCCGCTCGGCAGACAGAACCGGCGGGCGGGGGCCAACACGTGGGACCGTCGGAGTATTATTCGGCGGTCTGGCGGTCGGAGGGGGAAAAAAGGGGGAGAGAAAAGTGGGAAAAACAGGCCCAAAGGGCAGATAGAGAGGAGAGAGGCAGACACCCACAAAAAAAACCACCCCCAGACAAAAGCCCCAAACAGGGGGAAGCATGCAAAAACCAAACACTTGTCAAAATATAATGAAAGCTAAAATCAATACAGTAACACACAGAAAAATACAGTAAAATAATCTACAGCAACTTAAAGTAACAGGAGGCAGTGGTACTCTGACCTGTGCTTGATGTGGAGAAGCAAAGAAAGAGGAAATAGTTGGTTGGGAGAAGCCTTACATGATTTCCTTACTTTTTTGTGATTATGTTTTTTCTCTCTATGTTAATGTGCTTGTAACAGCACCCCCAGGCATAAAAGGGTTAAACCACCATTTAGTAGATGTTCCCCTTCCAAAGACACAGGCACAGCTACTGCAGAACACCAATCCACCGAACAGGAAACCATACGAATGCCGTAAACAGCCGAAAAGGAAAAAACATACGAAGAGGTTTACACTCCTAGCAGTCAAACTGGAACAGCATACAGTCAATCCCCCCAAGAACGAGACAAAGCTCCGTGTTGAGGGTCAAGCAGTGAACAGACAGAGCTGTGGGTTTATTGTTCTTATATACACCTTAGTACCACCCACAGGGTTTTGGAAAACAACCAATAAACATGTACAATACACTCAGACACTCCCACACAAATTCCTCCCCTCTGCCTGTGATTCAATTACCTTACACAATGGGTAATGTAATTATCACAAGCAGAGAAATACACATTTCCACATTATTCTTAACTTCAAAAGTATGCATCACATTCACATAAAACTTACATTTTCAGAATCAGCATACTCCAAATACAAACATACATCACATTCATACAAATTGGTCCAATGGTTCAAAAGATAGATCATAGTCCTTTGTGACCAAAGGAAGCATGACTTTTCTGCCCAAAACCAGTTCCACAGAGTCTTCTATCCTGGAGATAATTGGGAAGTAATCCAATTATCCCCAAAGACAGAGGCAAAACTCCATTGAACACATGGCAGCAAAAGACAATAAAACACATAAAAACATATAACCGTGCAGCCATTGCACAAAACAGGTATGTAACATATCCCCATATAGCTCAGATCTGAGAGCACATTATTACTGAATGGCGCTCAGAGCACACACATACAGTTCAATTGCCATGGAGCCAAAGTCTTTCCCATTGTCTTTCATTATACGAATGGGCTCCATGGCATAGCTATCTGGGGTATCACCGCTCAAACAGGGCAAGCACCAAATGACACGGCTTTCATATCTTTGCAGGGGAAAATCAAGCCTTTTAACATGGGGCCATAATCCAAAGGCAACAGGCGAGCATCCAGGCTTCTCCAATGCAACATGGCGAGATCGGTCTTGTCACAGTGCTGCTGTGGAGTTCTGGTAAAGAGAGAATTAAGCAAATATGAAGCCTCCTGTCATGTTATAAAAAAGTTTGAATTATGCAATATTTTAGGTTAAATCCCCATTTCTCCATTGGGGATACTTTCCCTTTAAGAAAGATAGCTAGATACAGAGAGTTATTGAGACGATTAGGGTATCCCCTATGTTCACCTTAAGTCTTTAGCTGGAGTTATTGTGCACTCTATCACTTCTCAAAATCCCCTTTGTCCCCTTTAAGCCTTCGGTCTCAGTAACTGAACACTCTAACACTTCTTTGGAATTATCTCTCTCTTTTCTCTCTGGGCTTTCATTTACTTGGATCTGATAGTGGGTATTTTGTTTTAAATTCCTTCTCATGGATAGATCCTTCATTCTTATCTATCCTCATTTTATTTTATTCTTATATTTTTTTTTATTTTTTTTTTTATTCTATGAGAAGGATGTGGTCCCTTTAAGAAAGTGTGACGATGTCATGTTGCGAAAGTATATAGTTATGTATCCATATATGTACGATATGTGTCCCATAATTAACTAATTGTAGCCTGAAGAGAGATGTTGACAATAATGGTCATTTATTATATAATTTTTAGAATTTCTTATTATTTTCTTTTACTTTTAAATTTTTTATTTTCTAATATACCTATGCAAATTCCCTTATAACTATGGTCTGATATATCCTGTTTTTTCTGAGTCCCTGCCTGCTTTTTAATTATGAAATATCATATATATGTGGATTTTAAGGAAATGACAGTTTAGTTTGAAATAATCCCAGGCGGGAGTAACTATAGCAACATGCAGGGAATATTAATACATTTTAACTAACAATCAAAATAAGAAGGTTGCATGATGTATAACATTGTATCTATAACTGTAACAGAGTGCAATCATTAAATCTTTAATACATTGTATATTTGCGTTGTTGCAAACTGAACGATTATGCTGCTAAATAAGAAGAGAGGAAAAAACAGTCTGCGTCCATTGAAAAAGCCGCGGTAATGGCAAAATGCGTTTGGACAGGAATGCATGCTCATTACTGAGAGCCAGCACTGAGTTCATGCCCTTACGACTGTAACCAGTATATCTCCACTCTCTACTGACTTGGGACGCTGAGTGATACACTTAAGGTCGGCACTTCTCAGGCTATCTCTGTTTTAGAAATTATACAGACCGAAGAAAAGCTTGTTTAGATTTTATTTGTCAGTTTTTATGTTTTATGAGCTTTGACTAATAAATTTAATTTTTTAGCACTAAACCTTTTGTTGGTGTATAGTGTATCCTTCAAATATAGGATCTACTAACTAAATCTTTTTCTGTTATTTTCCATGAATTGAAGCTATACTATGGCATTACAACATTCAGGGAGATCACCTGGATCTAAGCAACAATACAGACTTATTACTGGACTTTATTGGCATTTAAGTCTGTTTCGTCCAGTTTTTATATTCTATTTTTTTGTATGACCATTTTTATTTCCCTTTACATACATATGCATACTGTCTCCTAATCAGAGTATATTCCATATATAGAAGATATATGATCTTCTAGACAGAAATTTTAAGGGTATTCCACTATATCTTTTATGTTATAAAATTAGGCTGGGCAATATTGTAGCTTTTTTTGCATTGCAGCACACTAATATATAAAATTTTCCTGCTTTTTTAGTATTACAAATAGTTTTTGATGCATGACATTCAGCTGAGACAAACTATGGACAAGCATCATATGTCCCTAACAAAATTTCAGTTTTGAGAAAAACTGTTTGGCTCACCTGAGCAATTGTGACGTGAACAAGTCCAGTCCTCAACAGCTTCCACTGCTTTTTCCTCAAAGTCTCTGGGTAGCTTACCATTACCATTATGATCACAACCACAAATATATTTATGGGGGGGGGGAAATGCCATATATTACATGGGGTGTTTCAAGCTATTATTGTATCCTATAAACCCTAATTTATGTTCTCTCTACTCTCTTCTACTCTCCTTTATCTTATAGCTTTATACACCAAGAGACTTGCACATGTGCAGTGCAGAAGAAACAGATGGCAATGTTGATATACTAGATTAGGGATGGTCTGACAGCCTTCTGGTCAAAATTAAATAGACTTGTGCACAGAAGAAAAATATGGTTCTGCCGAATAAAAATAAAATGACCATATCGCAGTTCGGCTTGGCTGAATTTTGTAACAGAAAACAATTTGGGAAAATGACTCAGATAAACCATCAGGATGCAAAAACGGACATATAAATGTACTGCAAACTTTTTGCATAATACAAATATAATGTACACTGATCGGCCACAACACTATAACCACTGACAGAGAAAGTGAATAACATTAATTATGTCATTACCATGGCACCTGTTAAAGTGTAGGGTATATTAAGCAACAAGTGAACAACCAGTTCTTGAATTTTATGTGTTGGAAGCAGAAAAAATGGACAAGCGACAAGTGCTGAGTGACTTTGACAAGAGCCAAATCATGATGGTTAGAAAACTAGGTCAGAGTAACAGCAAGTCTTGTGAGGGGTTCCCAGTATGCAGTGGTTAGTACAGAACCAAATCATGGATGCCCTGTAGCGGAGCCCTAGTCCTGACAGAGACTTTTCTCCACTGGATCACCAAGAGTAGAATGGGGAACAAGAAATTACCAAGTAAATAGCCCACCTACTCCCCAGTAACTATATGACACACAGTTCTGGGAGTACAACTGAACTTTATTCTGCCACACATGGCTTTTATGCATTGCCCCTAGCATAGGCTTTCAAAATCAAAAACACAAGGGTTTCTTTCCCAAGAGCCTCTGTGTTTGAGAGATAATGGAGCTCCAATTAGCATAACTCAATTATCTCGCACATACAGAAACTTACATATATTTTAGCATACCCCAAAAATACATGAAAAGAATACAGGAACCCCACAAAAATCATATTCCCGAGTAACCCTGATCTGAGAGTACAACCTATCCAAAAAGCACTACGATCGGTTCAGAGTAACAAAAGTTATGTTCAAACAAAGTCTTGACCGACCAGCCCCTAGCTGATGGCCCAAAACAGCTCCAGAGGATTGGGCATGATGGCCAGTTGGCTTTCCGGGGTTCCTCTGCGAACACCGACGAATGTTGCCCCTGGCTGCTAGGTAGCGAATGCTCCCCTGGTTTGGTATATCCTATCTCCCGAATGCCATTCATCTAGTTGTTCAGGAAGTGGGCTGAGCAGCAGTACCATCTTTGACCGGGTTTTGTGGAGACGCGAGGCTGAAAACAGTTCCAGGCGCTCGACGACCAGGCACTGCTGCCTGTGTTCAGGGGACAAAATGGCTATATAGATGGTGGCCACCCAGGGAAAGCACTCAAGCAAAGTCATTAATTTGTGGTTAACAGGCAGGGGAGGTCGTGTTTACTGGGGCATAGCAAGGGGATCACACACCAGTCATTCGGGAGATGAACAAGGGGGTACAGAAACAGAACACAAGGGAATAGAGTCTGCTACACACCCAAGGTTCAGTTTGCTGTGTAAATGGAGGTGTGAGCATCAGAGCAATCGATTTTGACACTTTGTAAAGTTTTTGTGTTAATTAAATGGAGTATTTTTCTGGAATATGTACAGAGTTGGAAAAGGGCCTGGTCTGGCAAATCATGTTTTCTTCTAGAGCAGGTGGGTGACTGGGTGCATGTGCACTGTTTACCTGGGGAAGAGATGGCAGCAGGATGCACTATGGGAAGAAAGCAGGCAGAGGCAGTATTATGCTCTGGGCAATTTTCTTCTGGGAAACCTTTGGTCCTAGCATGCTTTGGATGTTACTTTGACAAGCACTACCTACCTAGAGATTGTTGCAAACCATAAACACCCCTTCATGATAATGATGTTCTCTAATGGCATTGACATTTTTTAGCAAGATAATGCACCATGCTACACTGAAAAGAGTTGTTCTGGAATAGTTTGAGGAAAATGATAAAGAGTTCACGGTGTTGACTTGGCTTTCCAAGTCCCCAGATCATAATCCGATTGAGCATCTGTGGGATGTGCTGGAATAACAAATCCGATCCACAGTTGCAAGGTCCCATCTTGCAATTTGCAGGACTTAAAGGATCTGCTGCTAATGCCTTGGTGTCAGATATCCCAGGACATGTTCAGATGTGTTGTAGCATCAGTGCCTTCAAGCAGGGCCGGACTGGGAAAAAAATTCAGCCCGGGCATTTTTTTATCACAGCGGCCCACTAAGAAGGGGGCGGGGCAGAGAGGGTGTGTTTTGTCATCACTCATGACAAACACGCCTCCCTCTCAAAGTGAGCATGTTGGTTCAATGCTCTTCCAGGGCAGACCATGCGCAGAGCTCTGCTGAAGAGCTCTAGCATGAGAAAAAAGCCCTGTATTTGTTCTGCACAGTGCAAGCAAATTTAATAACATGCTTGCACTGTTTCCTTGCAACTTGTCTCTGGTGTCTCTATAAATGGATACCAGAAGACAAAAGGGCGAGGAAAGAGTATTGTGCATGTGTTTGGAGCCTGTTTGTGGTATTACGTTTGTGCAGAGTGAGCTGGTCATGGTGTGGTATTGTGTAATAAGGTCTGTTTTAGTCGTGTTGTGTTTGTGGTGTAATGTAATGCATATGTGGCTAGGGGCTGTAGAGAATGTGTGTATAGGGGATGTAGCAAGTGTGTGCATACAGGCTATAGTGTGTGTGTGTGTATAGGTGATTTAGTGTTTGTAGAGAGTGTGTGTTCAGGGAATGTAGTATGTGTTTGCTTACAAGGAATCTAGTGTGCATATAGGGGATCCAGAGTGTGTGTGTGTATATGATCCAGAGTTGGCTAAAGGATCTAGTGTGTGTCTGGAATGTAATGTGTTTAGGGGTGCAGTGTGTGTGTGAGGGGTGTTGTGTGTATGTGTATATATATATATATATATATAGTTTATATAAATATGTTTGGAAGTATTGTGTATGTGTGTGATG